TGTAAACAAAACACAATGGGTTTATGCACAAGTGTTATCATTTGATTTGTACCTGAATTGGGGGTGGGGTGGGACATTTGAACAATCCAAGCTTATCCCAGTGGTTTGAAACAGACAATTTGTTACTGAGCACCATCAAAATATCTTTATTTTCACCATTGACACAACCTTTTGTTGCGAAAAGAACACCAGTCAGTTTGACAAGACAAAGTTCAAGAATTGAAGGTGGAATTGACAAAGTGTATTCCTGTATCTACATCCCGTACACACCACGACTCCTACAACTATGCACTGACGTGGAGATGAACCCAGGCCCCTGGGGTCGGGGCAGTGTAGTCGGGGTGCTCGAAGTGAGGTAACTGGACAATCCACTTTAGCATTCAGTGATTCTGACCACGACTTCAGGTAAAACTGGCAGTCTACCAAACCACTATGAGGAAGGTGTCAGCGGTGTTTTGATACTCTTTAAATCGGACATTTGTCAGTTGAAGTTTGATACAGTCCAAAATGAAACTAAAGACGAATTTTCGAAGTTGAGATCGGATAACGACCAGCTTAAAGAAAACGTATTTACACTTGAAAGTTGGGTTGATGAAGAAGAGGCTCAGAAGAGGAAGAACACCCATATCATTCATGACGTAGAGGTTGTGATTGGAGAAAAGTAGGCGGAGTATGAGAAGCTTGTGGGCTTTTTCTACACCACATACCTGTGCAGTTCCGGGTTAGATTGGTCTTCAGTACCCCTGGTTATGTGAGGTACCCCATGCTTGTCGTAAGAGGCAACTGACAGGATCGGGTTTTCAAACTTGCTGATTTGGTTGACAGTCATTGTATCCCAATTGCGTAGATTGATGCTCATGGTGTTGATCACTTGATTGTCTGACTCAATTATTTACAGACCACCGCCATATAGCTGGAATATTGCTGAGTGCGGCGTTAAACAACAACCAAACCAAACCAAATCTTCACCATAACTTCGGTATGCTGGAATTGCTGAAAGCTGCGTTGAACTTAACTCACTCACTCACTGAAGCTTCATAATCATCTATAATATTGTGGACATATCCGTGGTACTCTCAAATGTTTTCTTGCTTAAGGAATATATATCAATACATATGAAAATATTAATATAAGAAAGTCTGAAGAAATGCCTACCAACCACAATAGAAAGGCGAAACAATAATACATGAATACTGATTTTCAAAGGCGTAAAAAGCAATTTTCGCTGGCTGAATATTTGATTTATTGACACTTGTGAACTTTGAACTCTCAAAAGACATTTACACACAAGCCAGACGGTGATGGAACTTGATTTTAAATACTAACATGGAAAACACTAAAAAGTTCAAAACAATAAGGGGACAAGAAGCTACACTTGTTTCACGAAATGGTAGCAACAATTGAAATGATATTAAACAATTAATATGAAAGCATCACCAAATTGAGGATTGGACAAACGAAAGGATTGACTAAGAAACTGCGAACCTACTAATGGAGTTCGACGAGCAGATAGCCTATATTAATTAGTCACAGAAAATAGAAACAACAGAATTTTACCAACTTCTTGATTGGTGACAAGAAGGCAGAGATTACTAATTTCGAAATGAATTTTATGGATGTGTTAAACTTCGCCTGACCATGATGACACGGCCACAGTTTAGAGGTAAGAAATTTACCTGTTGTCAGCCAGGAGAGTGATCATCATGATACCATCCCAAGTCCCACGAAGAAATCGCTTTAAAGACTTTTTAACATGTACCTGTGCTCTTACAGGTGATAAACCTACCAGAGCGATAGTTATTAAGGAAGTTATCAAAGAAAAGAAGTTGCATTTCCAAGGCAATTGCGTTGTCTTCAAAACAATAGGACAGATTGCAGCTCGGTTCCTGGGACTTGTGTTGTTGGTCGCTACAGTTTGGGGAGTTTGTACTTCAAAACCTAAACCTTGATATTTTAAGAAACATTTCTGAAACCTGGTTGTAGAAGGTATGGGGACTATCGGCATAAGATCATTGTTTATAATTATCATTTTAATCTATTGAAAGTTGCTTTAAACTCGGATGCTGTTGACATAATCTTGTTTTTCGTTAACTTTCCTAGATGACAATAACTTAACAATACTGAGTGCATAAAAATCTGAGTGAGTTATATTCCTCCACCATGTTCCACTCTGAGACTTTCTAAGGATTGCGAAATATTGTTTCGCCTGGTGCACTGTCAATGGAACCAAACAGGTAAATCACACAGATATAAGTAAACCTGGTACACTGTCAATGGAACCAAACAAGTAAATCACGCAGATATAAGTTAACCTGGTACACTGTCAATGGAACCAAACAAGTAAATCACACAGATATTAGTTAACCTGGTACACTGTCAATGGAACCAAACAAGTAAATCACACAGATATAAGTAAACCTGGTACACTGTCAATGGAACCAAACAAGTAAATCACGCAGATATAAGTTAACCTGGTACACTGTCAATGGAACCAAACAAGTAAATCACACAGATATTAGTTAACCTGGTACACTGTCAATGGAACCAAACAAGTAAATCACACAGATATTAGTTAACCTGGTACACTGTCAATGGAACCAAACAAGTAAATCACACAGATATAAGTAAACCTGGTACACTGTCAATGGAACCAAACAAGTAAATCACGCAGATATAAGTTAACCTGGTACACTGTCAATGGAACCAAACAAGTAAATCACGCAGATATAAGTTAACCTGGTACACTGTCAATGGAACCAAACAAGTAAATCACACAGATATAAGTAAACCTGGTACACTGTCAATGGAACCAAACAAGTAAATCACGCAGATATAAGTAAACCTGGTACACTGTCAATGGAACCAAACAAGTAAATCACGCAGATATAAGTTAAACCTGGTACACTGTCAATGGAACCAAACAAGTAAATCACACAGATATAAGTTAACCTGGTACACTGTCAATGGAACCAAACAAGTAAATCACGCAGATATAAGTTAACCTGGTACACTGTCATTGGAACCAAACAAGTAAATCACGCAGATATAAGTTAACCTGGTACACTGTCAATGGAACCAAACAGGTAAATCACGCAGATATAAGTAAACCTGGTACACTGTCAATGGAACCAAACAAGTAAATCACGCAGATATAAGTTAACCTGGTACACTGTCAATGGAACCAAACAAGTAAATCACGCAGATATAAGTTAACCTGGTACACTGTCAATGGAACCAAACAAGTAAATCACGCAGATATAAGTTAACCTGGTACACTGTCAATGGAACCAAACAAGTAAATCACGCAGATATAAGTTAACCTGGTACACTGTCAATGGAACCAAACAAGTAAATCACACAGATATAAGTAAACCTGGTACACTGTCAATGGAACCAAACAAGTAAATCACACAGATATAAGTTAACCTGGTACACTGTCAATGGAACCAAACAAGTAAATCACGCAGATATAAGTTAACCTGGTGCACTGTCAGAGTAACCAAACACGTAAATCACGCAGACAGAAGTAAACCTGGTGCACTGTCAGAGGAACCAAACAAGTAAATCACGAAGACAGAGGTAAACCTGGCACACTGTCAGAGGAACCAAACAAGTAAATCACGCAGACAGAGGTAAACCTGGTGCACTGTCAGTGGAACCAAACAAGTAAATCACGCAGACAGAGGTAAACCTGGTGCACTGTCAGAGGAACCAAACAAGTAAATCACGCAGACAGAAGTAAACCTGGTGCACTGTCAGAAGAACCAAACAAGTAAATCACACAGACAGAGGTAAACCTGGTGCACTGTTAGTGGAACCAAACAGGCAAATCACGCAGACAGAGGTAAACCTGGTGCACTGTCAGAGGAACCAAACAAGTAAATCACACAGACAGAAGTAAACCTGGTGCACTGTCAGAGGAACCAAACAAGTAAATCACGCAGACAGAAGTAAACCTGGTGCACTGTCAGAGGAACCAAACAAGTAAATCACACAGACAGAAGTAAACCTGGTGCACTGTCAGAGGAACCAAACAAGTAAATCACACAGACAGAAGTAAACCTGGTGCACTGTCAGAGGAACCAAACAAGTAAATCACAGACAGAAGTAAATCACTGTCAGAGGAACCAAACAAGTAAATCACGCAGACAGAAGTAAACCTGGTGCACTGTCAGAGGAACCAAACAAGTAAATCACGCAGACAGAAGTAAACCTGGTGCACTGTCAGAGGAACCAAACAAGTAAATCACGCAGACAGAAGTAAACCTGATGCACTGTCAGAGGAACCAAACAAGTAAATCACAGAGGAACCAAACAGACAGAAGTAAACCTGGTGCACTGTCAGAGGAACCAAACAAGTAAATCACACAGACAGAAGTAAACCTGGTGCACTGTCAGAGGAACCAAACAAGTAAATCACACAGACAGAAGTAAATCTGGTGCACTGTCAGAGGAACCCAATAAGTAAATCAGACAGAAGTAAACCTGGTGCACTGTCAGAGGAACCAAACAAGTAAATCACACAGACAGAAGTAAACAGGATTTTGTGATCTCCACTGAAATATCATCCCGATGAAGATATCATGCTGATAATCGTGTCTTGTTTGTAATTTATGAAGCTATCTCTATTAAACTGTGTACACATTCCACAGTCTGGTTGCTCTCTGTTGGTTGTTCCTTGGTAGGCCTGAAACTCAATTTCTTTCTTCTTCATAGCATTACCCGTGAAGATCCGGGTTAGAACTGGTCTTTAGTAACCCATGCTTGTCGTAAGAGGCGACTAACGGGATCAGGTGGTCAGGCTCGCTGACTTGGTTGACACATGTCATCGTATCCCAATTGTGTAGTACGATGCTCATGCTGTTATTGTCTGGTCTAGACTCGATTATTTACAGACCACCGCCATATAGCTGGTATATTGCTGAGTGCGGCGTTAAACAACAATCAATCAATCTTCACAGCATCATGTGTTCCCGTGACAAACAACAAACATATACCTGTCTATTTATACTCTCACTGTTCATGAAGGCAGGCTAGAGCCCAAGAAGTGTCCATTACAAAAATGAAAAATACATTCACCTACGACACATTGTAATACAGAAACAGACATTACGGAGTAGTAGACCGGGAGGTTGAGCTTGTTGATATGTTGTCATGTTGTCATGGAAATGAAAAGTTGTTTGTGAAACTACAAACCTAACTTGGGGCAACGTGTATCTTGCTTTACATTACTTTGATTAGAGCGTATTATGTTATATCACACTACTGAATGTAATATATCATGTTATACCACATTATCGAATGAAATATATCATGTCATAACCCACTAATGAGTGCAATATCCCATGTTATACCACACTGTAGAGTGTAAATATATCATGTTATACCACACTACTGAGTGTAAATATATCATGTTACACCACACTATTGAAAGTAATATATCATGTTACACCACACTATTGAATGTAACACATCATGTTATATCACACTACTGAATGTAATGTCATGTTATACCACACTATTGAGTGTAAATATATCATGTTATACCACATTATTGAAAGTAATATATCATGTTACACAACACTATTGAATGTAACACATCATGTTATATCACACTACTGAATGTAATATGTCATGTTATACCACACTATTGACTGCAATGTCATGTTATACCACACTATTGTGAGTAATATATCATGTTCTACCACAATATTGTAATATATCATGTTATACCACACTATTGTGTGTAACATATCATAATATATCACACCATTATGTGTAATGTCATGTTATACCATACTATTGAGTGTAATATATCATGTTATACCACACTATTGTGTAATATATATCATGTTATACCACACTAATGAGTGTAATATGTTATGCTATACCATACTACTGAGTGTAATATATCATGTTATACCACACTTTTGTGTAATATATCATGTTATCCCACACTAATGAGTGTAATATGTTATGTTATACCATACTACTGAGCGTAATATATCATGTTATACCACACTATTGTGTGTAATATATTATGCTGTATATCATATATCATGTTATACGACACACTGAGTGGCATACACTATGTTTTACAACACATCGTGTTTCACATTCTACCTCACATTGAATGGGACATGCAGAGTAGCATATGATATACCACACGGTAAGATATAACGTATGCCATACCATTATGCGGTTATGTCTTCACAAACAAGTAATGTCTCAAGAGGACGGATTCAACGAAACAGTCTAAAACTGTCAAAACTGATTCACTGAATTGAATAAAATCATTCTATCAAACTTTTCAACCAATTCGAAGAGATTCTGCAATTTTGTTGTGGCTAAAATTGTCGTTGGTTTGGAAAATTCAGTTTCACAATTCCTTCTACACCATTCATGGGACAATGTATGCTGCACGCGGTGAACACTGCTCGTCGGCCCACGTTGCCATGTTCATATTTGTTGACGATGCTGTTGTTACCCTGGGTAACAACGTCACGTGATGTTCAGTCGAAAAGGGAGATAAGTCCTCCGTCAGAGTCGGAGTCAGAATCATCATCTGCTGGCTTATCTTCTGCGGAAACAAGAATAAGACATACTCCTGTAATCAAATGAAACTAAACCAAAGGGCCACAACAAATTGTCCCTTTTCTTTATCGGAATCGATGACTAGACACTGCAGCCATATTTGCCACATAACAAATCAGATTATTTGCATATAAAATCCAATGTAAATAAATGGTGAAATATGACAATTCCGAAAACGAAAAGTGACCAATCGACCACCTAATGAATACGAACCAGTGAAGTTCCGGGTTAGAATTGGTCTTCAGCAAACCATGATTGTTGTAACGTGTGGTCAGTCTCACTGATACAGAGTTTATATAGAATTACATATGAATATAAGTGTCTAATTAAATTCAGTTTGTACTCAGGAACCAGAAACATGTAACATATGTTAATTCCATTAGGATTCGAACCCAAACTCTCAAAAGTCACGCACCTATCCTAGTCTTTTCGCGAAAGCGCGGTTGCTGAGTGGGGTATATCACTGTCTTTTCGTGCTGGCGATTAGGTGCCTGACAGCACTTTCTTCAACGGAGTGAAGGAACAAGAATAGGCAGAAATTAAAAAGAAATATCATATTGCCAAATTCTACCATTAAACTGTTGAAGATTATTTATCTTATCTGCCGTCGCTACTGTTAGACCTTTCGTAACATTTATTCTTAAACACTCACTTCTGATGTAGCGAGTGAATGAAAGCAAGAGAGATAACTTTCAATATGGCGGATTCAACAAGAATATTTAGAGTTATCTCCCCTGTTCCTTCACTCTGTTGAACCGAAAGCCAGCAGGGGTAATGGAGGCGAAGAACGATTTGATATGCCAGGAGTGGCGCTTAAAACGTTAAATAAAATATATCTTACGTGAGTAATTATTAAATATGAGGTTGAAAATCTGACTGCACACCCCTGTGAGGAAATGGGTGTCTACCTTTGGTGGTGGCGATATTTTGTTTTGACATTAAATATATTTTTCGAACCTTCGCTCGCATATAGAAAGATTGGTCATTTTTTCTCTCTGTTCCGCAACCCTATTTGCGCTATAGTTTGCCTGTGGTTGAATATAGGAAGAACTGACATCATCACCGTGGAAAAATACCGTAACTGTTCTAAATGACGTTCTGAACACGGTGGTCTGAGAGGAAACAACTCATGCGGAGTAACGCCCCATAACTGCCAGGATCTGCTGATAGTCGTTTCCAAACACAGCTCCTCATTGTGCGTGGTCTGCCATTTTTTATGTCCAAACGGGTTTTCCTCACATACTTGCCGTTCTGCATGCAGTGGAGCTTTCCACTCAAATTCAACTGCCCCGCTGTGATATAACTGTAATTGTGTTCAAAGCGGCGTTTGACTTACGCATACAATGGTTCTAGACTGACTGACTGAGTTTGGTTTTACGCCGCTTTTAGCAATATTCCAGCAATATCACGGCGGGGGACACCAGAAATGGGCTTCACTCATTGTACCCATGTGGGGATTCGAACCTGGATCTTCGGCGTGACGAGCCAACGCTTTAACCACTAGACTACCCCACCACCCCCAATGGTTCTAGAAAAGGGCCATGTGGGTCTCACCTTTCTTCTCTTCCTTCTCCTCAGTGACACCGACGTTGTCAGCGTCAACGGCAACGCCAGCTCCTGCCCCGAATGCTACAGTAGCCAGGCGTTCATTGCCTAAACGAAATACAAAAACATACATTACGATTTGTTATGTAAAGACACAATACCATTTAGAAAGTGGTCAAATGTAACATATGATTTGGACTGGTTAAGTTCACACTGAATTCTGTATTTTTCGATGAAATATCATATGTGATTCTGTCACTGGTTTTTATTGAGTGGCAACGATACTCGTGAAGATCCGGGCTAGAATCAGTCTTCAGCAACCCATTCGTAAGAGGCGACTAACGGAATGGGGTGGTCAGACTCGTTGACTTGGTTCATATATATCATTGTATGCCCATTTCGAAGATCGATGCTCATGATGTTGATCATTGGATTGCCTGGTTTAGGCTCTATTACTTACAGACCGCCGTTGTATACCTGGTTTATTGCTGAGTGCGACGTTAAACAACAAACAAGACCAGGGTTCGATTCCCCACATGGCTACAACGTGCGACGCCCATTTCTGGTGTCCACCGCCGTGAAAAAGCGGTGTAAAACTAAACTCACTCACTCACAATCACAAACCACGGGAATCTGGAGAGAGCATTTAGTATTCGTGTTACATTTCACCCTTTCTAACTGACCTTGAGCAATGACCTCTTCGACGTCCTTCCCCTTCAGCTGGCTGATAACGAGGGCGAGTCGGTCTTCCTCGGCATCCACGCCGACGCTGTTGAGGATCTGTTTGATGTCCTTGGCAGAGGGTTCTCATTCCCCCCAAGTACCGCCAACAAGTATGCCGCCACGTACCGCATCCTGCAACAGACAGAGTCATTATGACCTACCTACGTCATGAGCAATTTAAAACGTATCTAGAGTCAGTCATGTTAAGTATTATCTACGTAGATGAAAGTATCTTCTACGTTGAAGTTAAGTATCATCTACGTAGATGAAAGTATCTTCTACGTTGAAGTTAAGTATCATCTACGTAGATGAAAGTATCTTCTACGTTGAAGTTAAGTATCATCTGCGTAGATGAAAGTATCTTCTACGTTGAAGTTAAGTATCATCTGCGTAGATGAAAGTATCTTCTACGTTGAAGTTAAGTATCATCTGCGTACGTTGAAGTTAAGTATCATCTGCGTAGATGAAAGTTTCTTCAACGTTGAAGTTAAGTATCATCTACGTAGATGAAAGTATCTTCTACGTTGAAGTTAAGTATCATCTGCGTAGATGAAAGTATCTTCTACGTTGAAGTTAAGTATCATCTACGTAGATGAAAGTATCTTCTACGTTGAAGTTAAGTATCATCTACGTAGATGAAAGTATCTTCTACGTTGAAGTTAAGTATCATCTGCGTAGATGAAAGTATCTTCTACGTTGAAGTTAAGTATCATCTACGTAGATGAAAGTATCTTCTTCGTAGAAGTTAAAGTATCATCTAGGCATTTGAAAGTATATATCTTCTACGTTGAAGTTCGGTATCATCCACCTAGAAAATATCTTCTACGTAGAAGTTTGTAAGTGTAAGTATATTCAACAGAGATGTAAGTATCATTTACGTAGATGATAAAAATGTCGTAGACTGTGTCACTAATGAGCTTCCAAATTAGACTAAACAAATATACGCATCATGTATAGTGGGAGACGAATTCCGTGACGAGTATTTGGCATGCGGTCAACTTCTCTGGCGATAGGTGTATAAAGACATGCAAGACGATGGGCAATGTATCCTGTTTATAAAGCAACTTATCTTACCTCACACATAAATGTCGCTTTCTCATTGGCTGAGCGATTTTCTATTATTTTCAGTGTACCCGGCTTACAAGCTAGGTACATTTCAATGTACCCCGCTGTCAATGGCAACTCATTCTGTACTTCGTGGTAGTAATTCTTTTCTCGAATAACATTGAATCACGTATGATGTACGGAAATTACCGATGTTTTGCGAATGCAAATCGATGGAAGGGAGATAATTCTAAATCTGTTTTCTTGTCAGCAAAATCTAGCGTACCCGTGCTTCAAACAATTCAAAATTAACATTAGGGTGTTCGGTAAGATAAACACTATTAAGGTGTTTGGTAAGATAAATACGTTGTTCACTGGTCCCTCGGGGGACATGGACCCTCGATGCTTGACATGTACAAAATCAATTACCCCCCTCCCCTTCCCATAATTTCCATAATTTTAAACATATTTTCTGTAACACACCAAAATTGCTGCCCCCCTCCCCCAGCTCCCCAGAACAAAATGTGTGAAACACACACACACACACACACACACACACACCTTAAAATCATCATCATAAAATTCCCTTCATGTTAAAGGGTGATCAGTGGTGGTTATCTCCCTTTGAACATGAAACCATTCACGTAATATATAGTGCGAGGTTGGTATTTTACGAATGCTTCATCAAATGTTAACCTGGTGCGATGACCAATTGTTTTCTGTCGAATGAATGAGTGAGTGAGTTTAGTTTGACGCCGCACTCAGCAATATTCCAGCTATATGGCGGCATTCTGTAAATAATCGAGTCTGGACCAAACAATCCAGTGATGAAGAGCATGAGCATCAATCTACGCAATTGGGAACCAATGTGTCAACCCAGTCAGCGAGCCTGACCACACGATCCCGTTTGTTGCCTCTCACGACAAGCATGGGTTACTGAAGATCAGTTCTAACCCGGACCTTCACGGGTCTCTGTCGAATGAAAATGATGCAGATTCTAAAGTAGAATTTCCAATGATCAGTATTGAGGACACACTGTATACATTCCAACCCTGTTAATCCCTAGTAATAGCTATCTGTTTACCCTTTCATTTGCCCTCTCTGAATCCCATCACATCCATAGGGATTCAGTGTGAGAATATGTCTTCTGTAACCCATGCTTGTCGTAAAAGGCGATTAATAGGATCGGGTGGTCCGGTTCGCTGACTTTGTTGACATGTGTCATCGTATTCCATAGGGGTGGGTATTGCCGGGAATTTTCGTATTGTGATATATTGCGATGCGAAAGCATGTATTGCGATATGTATTGCAATATATTGCAAGAATTATTTTTAACCAAAAAAACTACTTATAATCGAGTTAATGTTTGATCTGTAAAGCAAAAACACAACAAAATCAAAATGCTTGATTAGGCTTTAATGAAAACATTTAATCATGACCATATAAATGTAAATAATGTTTCGCACAAATGAAACAAGGAAAGGAACAATTTAAAAAACGGAAATATCCGAAGATTTCCGAGTGTTACCAAGTTTTCCGAATGCATGTCAAAATACCGGTTTTCGATCAGCATATCGCAATACGTATCGTTTTCATGTCTGAATCGGTAATTACCGGTAAACCGGTTATATTGCGCAGCCCTAGAATTCCAGCTGCGTAGATTAATGCTCATCATGCCAGTCACTGGATTGTCTGGTTTGGATTCAGAATTTTACAGACCGCCGTCGCACAGCTGGACTATTCCTGAGCGTATGATGCTTTAATCAAGAGTGAGTGAGTATGGTTTTACGCCGTGTTTAGCAATATTCCAGCAGTATCACGACGGGGAAGACTAGAAATCGGCTTGCTTTAGTCAAGAACCAAATGAGGTCGAAGACCAATTATAACTGGGATCATCAGTCTGTGAGCTTATCAAAACACAAAACAGGAAACAAGGAAATTATTGCCAGGTCCTCCTGATCATCATAACGGTTCAAATGTGAGTGAGTGAGTTTAGTTTGACGCCGCTTTTAGCAACATACCAGCAATATCACGGCTGTGCTTCACACATTGTAACCATGTGGGCAATCGAACCTGGGTATTCGGCGTGGCGAGCGAATGCTTCAACCACTAGGCTACCCCACCGCCCTCGGTTCAAATGAAAATGGCTCATAATTACTCCAATGATTGGTCGAAACACAGCTATAATTTACCGGACTGCCTCTGTGGTATTGTGGACACGGCGTCTGTTTTGGGAGTGGGAAGTTCGGGGTTCGATCCCTGGTCGCCTCATACGAAAGGCGTCCGATGGTAATTGTTTCCCTGCTGCATGGCGCTCGGCATTACATATGCTGTCTGTGTGGGGTATCTGTGACAGACTGTGGCATGCCACCTCAGTGGGATAACAATAGGAAACCTGCATTACGTCCGTACAAACACACTCGCACGCGTACGCACGCGCACACACGCACACAAATACATTAACAATCGTGCATAAATGTCGCCATAATGTGGCCTATACTGTTGAACGCGACAATAAATTTCCCTTCTAATTAACAATTCAGTACTCGGGGCATTCGATAGATTACGTGACATTACACACTGTGCATGTTAGGGCCAAGTAACTTTACACTGACATGAAGCGGTCCAAATAGCAATCGGTGATAGCTTATCAGACAAGTCGAACAACTAAAGCACATAAAGGACGTGAATAGTTATACTGTTCCAACCCGGATGTACTTCTCACATACAAATACTAAAGCGGTGTGTGATATCAGTTCACGTACATTGACATGCCATTACTTGATAGGACCCGAATAGGAAATGTGTAGACGAGACGTCAATGCAGCAGTGTGAGATGTATGAAATAAACCAGAAATGTTACCAGCCCAAATGGAATTTAACCAGACCAGAGATGGTGAATTTACTCAGATGTATGGAATATCTAAAATAAATTACCAGACCATCGGGCTGCAAATTTTGATCGTCCGTCAGAAATCTAGCCCGTCTGGGTCGGTCGGACGGGCCTTATTTCATACACTGAGTTTAATGTCACACACTCCTCAATATTTCAGCTATGTGGCGGCTGTCCGTAAATAATCGAGTCTGGGCCAGACAATCCAGTGATTGACATCATGAGCATCGATCTACGCAACTGGGATACGATGACATGTGTCAACCAAGTCAGCGAGCGTGACCATTCGATCCCGTTAGTCACCTGTTACGACAAGCATTAGCTGCAGAAGACTAATTCTAACCCGAATCTACACGGACTAGATGGAGAAGCGTTCATATTTCATAAAACCATTGGTGTTAGATCGCGACTGGGAGGCGTTCCGTTTCGTGCAATATATCCCGTTCTAATCATCCACGGTCAAGCATATCGAATTCCGAAACAAACCCGTGTTCGGTTTCACGAACCCTTTCGCAAAACCATTTTCTTCCGCAAGTTATTCAAAGAGCACAAAACACTACCTCGGTGTCTTGCGACAATCAAACCAAATTAATGAGTCGACCTCTGCAAGGTTAAACTATGGTACAACAAGTAATCCCGTAACGATCGACATTAGCATAGCCATAAGATGCGTTGTTCCTGCTGCAGTATATTGATCCGTTTTACCGACCTACCTTCCTCAGAACGTTGGGAATACTCGGATTCGGCTCAATCTCCTTCTGTCCCGACTATCCTTCAGCGCAATGCAGTAATAAGAGACTCGCGGTATTTATAACCAAATAGCATTGCACCACCACGATACAACAACGACTGGCTTACCTACGGTTATGCAAAAAGCGGGAAGAGTTATCTCCCTTCCGTGATATTATGTTCGTGGCTCGTTGCCAAATGTGCAGAACGTTTTTCCTCCGCCTGAACATAGGTTACATTGTGTATCGATTGAGTGTTGATATGTAGTGACTTGTTTATACATGACTGATGTTACAATAGATATCGAGAAACCAGCATTGAACGGCGTGTTCAGACGTGCGTTAAACCTTTAAATAATGTAGACCGATTTTCGTGGTGTTGTTTTATCAGAATACATGTGGGCGACTTCTTTGTATTAGCCAGCATGAGCAGATTGGAGATGCATAGGCGGATCCAGAGGGGGTGGGGTGTGCAGGGTGCACACACACACACCCTTGTGCTGAAAGTTTGTTAACCTGCTTTTCTCAATTGTTTTCACGCACACACCTCTTTCTCAAAAAGCTGTATCCGCCCCTGCAGATGGGACCGATCTCTGGGTCACGTACAAAATGTATTGGTCGAGGAGAACCAAGTGAGTTTAGTTTTACGCCGCACTCAGCAATATTCAAGCTATATGGCGGCGGTCGGTAAATATTCGAGTCTGGACCAGACAATCCAGTGATCAACAGCATGAGCATCGATCTGCAGAATTGGGAACTGATGACATGTGTCAACCAAGCCAGCGAGCCTGACCACCCTATCCCGTTAGTCGCCTCTTACGACAAGCATGGGTTACTGAAGGTTCATTCTAACCCGGATGTTCACGGGTAGAGCGAAGATGAGTTGAAGGGAGATGAAATAGGTTTTACCGTGGTGTTCAGGATTATTGCATAAATAATCTCTGACTGTTCTAGTAGGTTTCACAGAGATACCCAATGAAATAACATCGTTTATCACACGTCGCAAAGTTGACTCCAAGCCGGCCAGTCCTTCATCTCCTTAATGACGAACATCAGGCTAGGAAACAAAAGTACCACGTTTTGATACAAGGCGGCCCTCAGACAATCCACTGCCGCAGGCGGTTGAGTCTTTGAATTAAGAGATATGTCACATGGGTGAGTTAATAACCGAGAATAAACAACAGGCTTGCTGGAATTACTAATTGTATCCCGAGTTGTCATGAGTGAAGGTAAGCCCTAAGCCTCTAACTTATTGACACACCACCTTGATTTAGCTGGAGCATAGCGGACTGCGGCGTAGATCTAACGAGAGTGAGCGAGTATGGTGTTGCTTCACTGCCTCATTCGTTTGTGCAATGTGTAGTTGATGGATATGTTATCTTCCAAAATTATCTTTATCAGTTGATTAAGGGTAAGTGTGGGGCGGTTTAGCTTTAGGTTTGGTTGTCGTTTAACGCGGCACTTGGCAACATTCCAGCTATATGGTGTCGGTCTGTAATTAATCGAATCTGGACCACACAATCCAGTGACCAACAGCATGAGCTGTATGGTTTTACACCCTTTTAGCAACATTCCAGCAATATAACGGCGGTTGACACCAGAAATGGGCTTCACACATTGTAACCTCGTGGGGAATCGAACCGGGTCTTCAGCGTAACAGGCCAACGCTTTAACTACTGGTCCATCACACACCCAATCCCCTCTTTAAAGTAATCAAGTCACAAAATTGAGTGATTGACAACACAAGCAACATGTCATGCCCTCCTAATGGCACCTGGGGAACCATCCCAACGTGTGCTCCAACTTTGCAGTTACATGGCAGTGGAGTTTGACATTTTCTCTGTACTCATCAGAGGCAACAAATAAGAGCAGCGCTGATAAATAGTGGTCCGATATTCACAGGAAGCGTGATAAGAGATAACACCCTTGTTGTTCACATCATCTTCCCTGTCATTTCTGGAAGCAACTGTTCCTGGAGACTGGATGTATTGACCCCAAGTGTGATACTGAAGCGACTCTGGATTTTACCAAAGGGGTTGCATGGCTAAAAATAACTAGCATCAAGGTATATAGTCACAGACTGGGTCTTCCAGTACTGTTCCAAATTCATGGGCCAATTTCGAAGACATTTGGCAGAAATTTTAGATGTATTGCAGGGCCTATTACCAGTATTTAATGTGCCAGTCTGACAGATGTATTCTAGTTGTGATTGTAAACCAGAAACTGTTTCAACATAATTCTTTTTCAATCAATAATTGGGTAGCACCTATTTCATTTTGTGTTTAATTTTGAGTATCACCTTGAAAGGAATGCAACATATCTCCATGTTGAAGGCGCCGTGAGCGGATACACATAGCCAATCTTCCACACTTTAATTTTATTAAAATACTTCTATGGTCAAAAAGGATTTCAAAGACTGTCTGATATTCCAAATTCACTTTCATCAGGGTTTCATAAATTACTTCAAATTTGATAATATTCAAAAGATCATTTAAAGTACAACTTTCACTTCTACGTAAATTTGGTAAATCTACTCAAAGGAGTGCGAGGATATACAAAACCATTGAGCCCCATAAAACAGGGACAGATTCAACAGCAGTTTTTCGGATGCTGCTGGAATTTGGCCTCCATAGCTAGAGTGAATGAGTGAATTCAGTTTTACGCTGTTTTTAGCAAATATTCCAGCAGTATCTCAGTGTGGGGGGGAGAGGAGGACACCAGAAATGGGCTTCACACAAAGAATTCCCGTAGGGAATCGAACCGTGGCTCCATAGCTACAGTATGCTACACATGTACTTAAGCATGAAAAACACAAGAGATTTTGGTGGTTTGTTTTTTTACTTGAGTAAAATATACATTTAGGTTTTAGTCGAAGAGTCCGAAGCCCATGTCCTCGTCTTCTGACTCTGACTCTTCCTTCTTTTCCTCTTTCTTTGCTGAAAAGAAAGTAACATTTGTCAGTATAATATTATGCAAGTAATGATATCAGGGAATCAAGATAACGATGTAATCTTTCTACTTCACATTTTTAAAAAAGCTTTGAATGGCTGTTGTATAGTTTCTTGGAATTTTTCTGCAATATCATGGTAAGAGTAGTTTTGTTCAGTTTGTTGTTTGTTGCACTGAGCAATATTCAAGATGCATGACCAGAAAATCCAGTTATTGACACAAGCATCAATCTGCACAAATAGGATACAATTTATAACATGCATCAACAAAGTCAGTGAGCATGACCACCAGATCCTGTTAGTCGCCTCTTGTGACAAGCATGGGTTGTTAAGAAACTTCTAACCCAGATCTACATAGGTATGATGGAGGTTGTGTGGGGAGACTGGAATCTGTATCAAAACCTCCCACTCATGTAATTTAAGAAGTAGTCATCCGTAAAGTTCAGTACTGTATTTCCCAATTTCTAAAATACCACCCAAAGAATTGATAGGGACACTGGAATATTTCATACTGTGATACAGCCAGGGACAAGAGCTCATTGACAACAGCTGATCTTAACACGTTATTTTCAAAATGTACAATGACGATGGTTACCTTCAGCAGCAGCACCACCAGCTGCAGGCGTGGCACTGCCAGCTCCTCCAGCGGCAGCAACACCACCTGTTGGCACCGAGGCTAGCTTCTTCTGGCCTGAAATAAGATCGTATGACCTGTTAGTTCACTTTCTGGTAACCTGCCATTTTATGAACTTAAGTTGGTACATTGCACAGAAACATCACATTCAATTATCTATACAGTTACTTTTCATATTTCAAGGAACGCAGTGGTGGAATATCAGTGGCATTTGATCGAAAACACTTGTCAGATTAACTACCTTCTTCAATGAGCTCTTCAATGTTCTTCCCCTTCAGCTCACTGATCACTTTGGTGATCTTGTCTTTTTCGACCTCGATACCAACACTGCCGAGAATTTTTTCAATGTCTGCAGCAGATGGGTTGTTGCTGCCACCAAGGTTGGCTAGCAAGTAAGCGGCCACGTAACGCATTCTGAAATCAAGAAACCAGTTCATCACAACTACCACCAATACTCAAGGCATAATGAACTCTGACAAAATAATATTAATCCTCTCGGCTAGTTTCAGCCACTAATCTCAATTTTCTCATAAAGTCAGTTAAGCCCATACTCAATGTTTTTAACATCAAACTACTAACAACTTAGCCAGATGAACAAGTCTTATTGACATTCTCTGCAGATACCTTTCCAATGCAGAGGTTTTGTGATCATTCACTAGAAGCATATTTTTATGAGGAATTATTTTTATATTAGCTTTGGGTGTATGAACTGGGGAAAGAGCTTTCATTTAGTCCAAACCTGATTCTGATTTAGCTCTCAACTGTCTTATTATAGACAATGGGTAAGATTTCTTCCCATTCTCCCATCCCAAATAATATTTAAAAATTATATATACTAAAATGATTAAGAAAACTTAACACAACAATTACTAGATAACTCACAAAAATGACTAAAAGTCCAAAATTGAAGTTAGGGTTAGGGGAAAGGAAGGAACTCGGTTAGAATGCACTTTACCGGGCGCAGCCCTCGCTGCTCCCTCTACGATCCTTAGGGTTAGGGTATGGCATTCGTTACGATCCTTAGGGTTAGGGTTTAGGGTTAGGCACCCTTTACTATCCTTAGGGTTGGCACCCTTTACGATCCTTAGGGGTTAGGGTCAGGGAAACCCTGCAGCGCTAATTAATCTGAAAAAGTGCGCCCGGTAGAGTGCAGTACTCCCAGGAACTATTTCCATATATTATATACCAGATACTGTCTCTGTAGATAATAAATGTATCACTCCTAAAACGGCTCGGAAACTAGTAGTAAAGATTTCACGCCATACGTCATGTATGCCACTCTACATCACCCACGATAAACAGGTCGGGGAGAACCGCAAAACGACCTATAATAGTTAGATGGAGCTATAGTAGTTCAAACGAGCTATATGCCTAAAGGTCGATCGAGCTATAATAGCACATAAATGGAAGAGGCCCTTTAAGAACAACTTTCCGCACTGCGGTCATGGCATTGCTACACACGACTGGAATCGTTTTACCCATATTTGAAGCTTACTTGCACCACAAACCCGAAGCGTTTAGGATATATGAGCTGCTAAACTACCTAACCTATGGTGGGACACATTTATCCAATTCACGAATTCTGAATCTGTTTATTGATCAATAAATAAGGTCTATCCTTGTTTTGTATGGCGCATCTCGATGTGTTGTAGAAATTGTTAAGTATTTAGTAGTATGGTCATTGCAACTTTCGAGTACTGCTGTCATTTGGTCACATTCACTCATTCCATGCAATATGTTATCACCATCAATGTAATGCACTGACAGACGGGTCAATTCTTTTGCATTTTACCCATTCCGGGTGGAGGTAGTGTTCAACAAATTGAGTGCAGATAGTACTTATTGAAAAAATACACATTCAATATATTTATGAACATGTTGTGAATGTGTTGTTCTGCAATATAAGTACTATCTGAACTCAATTTGTTGAACACTATTGCCATTGCTTCGGATTCCATTGTGAATGGGTACAATGCAAGAATTTAGCCTTCTGTAAGTGCATTACACGTTATGGTGATAACCAATCCAGGGTAACATATATATATCTTGCATGGAATGAGTGAATGTGACCAAATGACAAGTACTTCCGAAGAGTTGCAATGACCATACTACTAAATACACAAACAATTTCACAACACATCCAGATGCGATACAAAACAAGGATAGACCTTATTTATTGATCAATACGCAACAGATTCAGAATTCGCGCGACGGATAAATGTGTCCCACACTGGGCTTGCATAGTTTTTTTGTTTATTCGTCTAACGGTAGTGGAAAACAAAAAATACACGTGTAACGAGTACTATTTCCAAAACCGGAAGTCATGCAATCGTCAAGTTCAGCTGTTCTGGCGAAGTGGGACCCCAAGTTTTGGGGTATATTTTCAGTTTTCAGGTGTGTTATATTGTCTCCCATGTAACTGTCCATAGGGTTAGGTAGTTTAGCAGCTTCATATATCACAAACGCTCGGGTTTGTGGTGCAAGTCGCTTCCAAATATGTGGTAAGACGATTCCAGTCGTGTAGCAATGCCATGACCGCAGTGCGAAAAGTTGTTCTTGATAAAGTCAAACACAACACACAAACATTTGGCACAACTTAATTGCGTCGTCGGTATTACGACATTTCATACTTTTGATATGATTGTGAAAACAAACTGCCTTGATCTATATGTTCGTCAGAGTGCTTCTCCCCAACCACGTGGTCCCCTTTGACTGGAATAAATGTCCCAAAATGCGACTATATCATTCAAATATCCAGAAACAACCCGAATATTTCCGTTTAGTGAATCTTTATTGCCTAACCGAATACGATCTTGGTATTATTTCACCTGATATGTGCTTACTTTTAAGTCTTTCGTAGACACGAAACGTAGTGCACGCCTTGATGAGATATCGTCAATGGCGGAAAGGCCAGATCGAGGCTGGTGCGACGTCATATCCGGAATTCTCGGTCATTTTCGTATTCAGTTTTACTAATAGTTGATGTTTTACTGCCTCTTTTATCAGTTGGTGTCAAAGTGAAATGGATAATCCTTCTAACTATTGTTTACATATTTCATAACGAATCTCTCTTCTTTAAGCGGCCGAGATCGGAAAATCGGCTATACTCCCTTTTGTGAATAACTGTCTTCACCACTACGGCCTCATGACATGTTGCTTTCACTCTTTCAGAAATTACTGATGTGTACAGTTGTAAAGATATTTAAAGATATTGTATCGTATATCAGTACGGTTTGTGAGACTAATATAAATAACTGAAAATACCTTAAAATAATTTCCGATATTCAAAGAAAAATGGCAGAGACATATTCTAATATATCTAAATGTGCTTTAATTTATAAGTATCAATAAAATAATTACAATCATATTGTACATAATCATATAAACTTATTCAAGATATCTTAAAATCAAAATACATATCCACAAACGCATTACATATATTATATTTCTAAAACCAAAATAAAGTTATCATTTATTATTTTGAGGATATCTTTACGACTTTATTTGGTCCGGGTTTTAGGCAGTTCCTATAGTAACTACAGGCTCACATACCGTGTGAATCCATCCTTAAAAAGAATAACATGATAAAGCCTGCTGATGTCTCCCCACTGTCGACTTACGTTTATTTTCCGTACAATCTTTGAAAGTCATTTAGAAGTTACAAACAAAAGGGAGAGCATTTGTGATATTTAGGAGTACATGCCTTAACATTTCTCATTCATCAGGTTATTTTGTTTCTCCTAATGTTTTACAACAATTTCTCAAATGCACGTGGTTGAATATTTGATAAAATATGTGTATCAGCAGAAACCATATTTAACGGTTTCTGGCCTTGACCCCGATAGTGACAATATCGTTGATGTTTGATGTTTGTTTTACGATGATGTCTGGAATCTGTACACATTCTTACTCTCCGACGACAATAGTAATCATCGGTAGAAGCTCACGCATTAATCTTCATGCTGAAATACTGCCGATGTGACTTAAAACCTTAACTCACTCATATACCTGGTGCAGGATGCGGACCAACATTCTGACAAATATGTTTTCTACTGAATATTCTTAACAAGCAAGTTTCTCTGTTTCAGAAACAACAACATTCAAACAGGTCAAATCCTCCTGCTATTCGAAAATATATACATATGAACACATTGTGGTTCTTGAGAGGCATTTAGAATTTGGTGTTTAAGTAAAACGCAAATATACAATTACAAAAGTTTTCATCCACAATATTTTCGTTTTGTGTGAACATTTTGTTTTACTTGACGTTACCGGTTGACATTTATATGAGCGTGGACAACCAATCTATTTTTTGGATTCCCTGGTGAAACAAATCATGTTGATTCCGGCTGACAAGATTAAAATACAGTCTCTAGAATAAACATTTTCAACTTTGAGATTTAAGAAAGTGTGCGCCAAGGACAAAATCTCATGAAGGAGATCCAGAGTGTGGTGACTCCAATGGTTATCGACTAAAACATCTGATATCTTATTTTCATGAAGTACACCGTGCACGATGGCGGACAGGCTGACACAGTTGCAGGATGCTGTGAATCAGGTATGAATGGTGAACAAAAAGTACGAGCATGAATCGCGCCACGTTTTGCAAACAATAAGTTTTGCCCATCTCGTGGTAAATGCAGAATATGCACATAATTTTCTGACGCGTCTGTGACATATTCCGCTGCAAATATGAACATCGTTTTATTGAGTTTATTCAAAACTCTTAGGTGGCTGTTAGATCAATAACCATCCCTACCTGGCTTCCCTACTAGAAAACAGAAAGTGTACGTGACACTTTTTTTAAGTGTACTGTTGAACATGAATCATACACTGTGTCAATAGTTAAGAATAATTTGTGTCTTCATCCCTAAGTCTAAACAGCATGGGTCATTGTCATAATAAAAAGTTCAGATTATTGTGGTCCCTACTGAATCATTTGTAAGTTGTTTCATTAAAAAGGAAATAAGTACACTAACTGACAATGTGCATTACCACATGTGGAGTTTGTTAAGTGAACTTGAACTTATTTTGTAAATTAATAAATGACAGATTTAGTTAGGTTATTTGTAGACGGTCCCATCAATAAAAAACTGTGGTGAAGAAAATTCCACAACTCCAAACAAGTCAACTCTCACCGTTTTGCCGTAAGTTTCGTGTTCTTGTAAAGAAAATCCCATTCACTCAGCCAGCATGCTAAATGTCACATTTTTATGTAATTTAAGTACTTTCTAAATATTGCTATATGATGTTTTCATCTCAAATAACAACCATTTCCGATTGCTTGGAGCTATAAAACCTAAGCCAAAATACAGTGAAAACTATTTTAAAAAACATTTCCGGTTGACAGCTATGCAAAAGATGCGAGTACTATATGTGTATTATAGAAATGAACTAAAGTGTGCCATTGGCTCATTAACACTTTTTCCTTTGTGCAGGAATATTTCAGTATATACAAACTACCTACAAAGATAGACCTTTTCGTGCTAGAAGCACAATAGGTTGATTTTCATGTGAATGCTTTCTGGTCAATGACAAGCTAGCTAAATGATGTCCATTCTGTGAGAAGGGGCGGTGGGGTAGTCTAGTGGTTAAAGCGTTGGCTCGTCACGCCGAAGACCCGGGTTCGAATTCCCACATGGGTACAATGAGTGAAGCCCATTTCTGGTGTCCCCTGCCTTGATATTACTGGAATATTGCTAAAAGCGGTGTAAAACCAAACTCAGTCAGTCTGTGAGAAAATTTGGACAGTGTTTTTGCACATGCTGCAGAGTTATCTCCCTTGCCAAGTCACCACTGTGGACTGGACAAATGAATAAGTTCTAAACGGTCGATTTCTGCTTTCTTACTGTACTTAACAGTACATGTATCTGCAATTGTCATACTATTAAAATATTTTTGTGTTCCCTTTTTAAGATACCAGTAAATCCATGATAAAAACCTTGGAGAGTGCCTTTATATTAAGCCGCTCTATTGAGTTGAATCTAATTTTATTTAAACTTCAAACTATACTATCATTTAAACAGACACTCTCCTCTTTAAATGTATCAAGATTGTGTTATTTTGGGAATGTTTGTTATATTGCATTGTAATGTTCATCTAATTTGAAATGTTTACTCTTCAGCAAGCTGACAACTTCTGTAACAGTATTGGTATTTTACAACAATGTGCTCAACCAAGTCCATTCCCAAACTTTGAAAAACCAAGTGGAAAGTCATCACCCGTTCCCCCTCAGGATGGTATGTTATTTTTATTTTTAAATGCAAATATATATTTGTTTATTCTTGTTAAATGCTACACACTGGACCAGTCAGTCTGGGGACTGATGTCATGAGCATTGATCTGTGCAACTGAGATATGACGACATTGCAGGGAATGGTCTGAACTGACTGTGATGCCTGACCTTATAGGACATGGGCCTGCAAGCTCTGCATTGTTTAAGAAAATTTGAAATTCTACTGGAAACTGTAATGAAACGGATTTATTCTTATGAACAAGGACTAGACTTTGTGTTTCTCCTTTTCATTAACTAGATTGTCAAATAAGTTTCGCCCATTTCTGGTGTCCCCTGCCGTGATGTTGCTGGAATATTGCTAAAAGCGGCGTGAAACCAAACTCAGTCAGTCAAGCCCATTTCTGGTGTCCCCTGCCTTGATATTGCTGGAATATTGCTAAAAGCGGTGTAAAACCAAACTCAGTCAGTCTGTGAGAAAATTTGGACAGTGTTTTTGCACATGCTGCAGAGTTATCTCCCTTGCCAAGTCACCACTGTGGACTGGACAAATGAATAAGTTCTAAACGGTCGATTTCTGCTTTCTTACTGTACTTAACAGTATCTGTATCTGCAATTGTCATACTATTAAAATATTTTTGTGTTCCCTTTTTAAGATACCAGTAAATCCATGATAAAAACCTTGGAGAGTGCCTTTATATTAAGCCGCTCTATTGAGTTGAATCTAATTTTATTTAAACTTCAAACTATACTATCATTTAAACAGACACTCTCCTCTTTAAATGTATCAAGATTGTGTTATTTTGGGAATGTTTGTTATATTGCATTGTAATGTTCATCTAATTTGAAATGTTTACTCTTCAGCAAGCTGACAACTTCTGTAACAGTATTGGTATTTTACAACAATGTGCTCAACCAAGTCCATTCCCAAACTTTGAAAAACCAAGTGGAAAGTCATCACCCGTTCCCCCTCAGGATGGTATGTTATTTTTATGTTTAAATGCAAATAAATATTTGTTTATTCTTGTTAAATGCTACGCACTGGACCAGTCAGTCTGGGGACTGATGTCATGAGCATTGATCTGTGCAACTGAGATATGACGACATTGCAGGGAATGGTCTGAACTGACTGTGATGCCTGACCTTATAGGACATGGGCCTGCAAGCTCTGCATTGTTTAAGAAAATTTGAAATTCTACTGGAAACTGTAATGAAACGGATTTATTCTTATGAACAAGGACTAGACTTTGTGTTTCTCCTTTTCATTAACTAGATTGTCAAATAAGTTTCGCCCATTTCTGGTGTCCCCTGCCGTGATGTTGCTGGAATATTGCTAAAAGCGGCGTAAAACCAAACTCAGTCAGTCAGTCAGTCAGTCAGTCAAAAAGTTTCATCTTCATTCGGCATATTGGAATTAGTCTGCAGTTCTGTTTAATATCAATTTATTAACTAGAAGTGATAGAGTGGCTGTGATAAGGAGATCTCTATGAGGGTAACATTTCAGGTCAATGCTTGAGCATGAAGACAGTTACAAAATAATTATTTGTACCCATTTAATAAGTAAACATAATGGAGTAAACCTTAAGCACAAGAAATGACTATCTGCTGAAAGCATACCAGTTGCTTTTGAGGCAGGTAGGAGAGAGTTCATAAATGTCCCCCTATGTCAATGTGCATCACAATTTATTTCAAATCATGCAGATGAAATAGTGCAGAAAATATCATTTCTTAATCTCAAAACTTATCACACCATAAATAACCAGGTAGACTTTTCTGAGCTGTGTCCCTGTGAAGAACTAACTACCTAACAATTTACAACAAGCTTTGGATATTCAGCAGCAGTTGTTAAGATGACAGGCAAAAAGTCACAAGATGTTTTAATTCCTTGTGTTCATAGTCATGATTCAGGGGTTGAAAAATACCATAGCCCGACGCTTGGGTCGAGTGGAATTCTCCAGTCGGTCAAGTAAATATCCACAATAAACTTTACTGTGGTACAGTAGTGCTAAACTACTGAATTGTTTTGATATATGTATTTTGATGATGAAATAAAAATGCAATTGCTACCAACTCAAATTGTTAACTGTGGTCAAGTGAAATTATTATTTGGTCAACCTATGATTCTATATTTGACAGATTACGCAGTATTGTTCTCGAAGCTGATAGCCCGCACAGCCAAGGACATCGATGTCCTCATTGACTCGCTGCCCAATGAAGACTCCTCCTATGATCTGCAGGTAGGCAGGCCTAAAAACTTGTATCCACATTGTATCTTGTTAACTGGTCCAAAGGACTTTTCGAGTTTTGTAATGAGTACATTTACAATCATTTGCTGAGTTTAATAGCACCTGTAAAAGTCGTTAAAGACAATCTCATTAAAAATCTCTTTTACTCTGATAAGATACTTTTCTGTATGCAAATATGAGGTAACCTCAACACAAGGTAGTGAAGCCAATCAAACTTCAGTTGGTGTAGCTCAACAGGTCCAAAGGGCCACTTGTGACAAGGAAATTTACCGTTATTTTCCAATCAAAATAGGACGTTTAAAACAGCCGAAAAGATAATCTCATTAAAGTCAGACCTTCTACACTTATACCACTCTGGGTCGAGATTAAGGTCACCTTCACAGGAGGTCGGGTCAGGTGAAATTAAGGGTCACATGCAACCACAAAAAACAAACATAATTAAAACACAATTATCACTTATTCATGACATATAATATACATTGCTGTTTGTGAAAAAACAAATAAACAAATATTATAACTGTACAATGGAATCAAGAGTGCAATATTTTGTACTTGGGTTTACTGCCATCAAACGAAGCACCCGGGAGACCGACGCCAGTCAGAGTGGGTGGGTGTGCACTCAAGTGTAGCCTAGTGGTTAAAAGGCTTTCATTGGCTGGTTCGGGTTGTTCCCCACGCCAATGGGCTTATTTTGTGTGTCTGTATATAGCTAAAAGATTTGTTTGATTGGCATTTTAGAGGGCTTATTGTATGTATGTGAGAAGATTTGTTTGATTGGCATTTTAGAAGTATGGTGAGTAATAAGAAAGTAAGATTCTTTATGGATAACAACTTCTTTTTTTGTATATGATGTGACGTTTCGGTATGGATTCTTATACATTTGAGTGACAATGGTATAAGAATCAATACTGAAACGTCTCATCATATACAATAAAAGAAGTTGTTATCCATAAAGAATGTTTATAGAGATGTTGGGTTTTGTAAATACATGCTCTCTGCATTTGCGTTCGATCCAATCAACAAATACTGAGATGGTGAACTACTGCATGGCTGGAAACTGTCGTTCGTCCAAGCAGAGACCATATAATAGATATTGCTGGGGTGAAATTAGTGAATCGTTTGAGCTCTGATTTCGCGGGAGTTTTTTCATCGCGTTATTTTTCAACTTTATAAGTTGAATTTGCATTTTGATAATTTGTGTCTGTTAGTCCATACCGAAAGGTATCAGAATCTGCAAAGTTGTGTTTTGCGTTGCATGTGACCTTTAAGCAAACTTTGACCTACCAATCAAAATGAATAATGTGGGTCAGTCAAATGTCAGCTTTCTAAGATACTTCTTGTGTTTCTTTACCACCATAATACAATGTCTGCCAAACAAATTTGCTATACCCTTCTTATGGTGTAGATATCTTGACACTCACAAATGATAGGGTGAAAAACACACCAATATGATAGTGCTGCATGCTAATACCTGCTGTTTTGAAGGGTTACTGAAAATCAATATTCTTCAGGGGTCTATTTAAGTAATAAATATTTACGGACATAACTAGGTAGAAGCAGCAGGGACTAGAGTCTGTTTGCAGTGAAAGCGTACCGATGAATTTGACTTTAAACAAAAAAGTAAATCAAATAAAGTGAAATTAAGATTGCGAATCCTCATAACTTTACCTTGCCAGTTCAACATAAAATCTCAGAATTTTATGTAACTTAGAATAAAAGTTGTTTAACAAACAATCATAATTTCAAATCGCTATTATTGGTTTGCATTACAAGGGGTATGCACATTAAATGAAACCCCGAGAACCAGAAGGGTTGGTTTCTATGGTAGTCTAAGTTAACGCTCATCTCGCACCTCACATGCATTTGTTTCACTGTTCCAACTACTGCGCATACCCCATTGTAATACAAACCAATAATAACGATTAGTTAAATAAAATTCTGAGATTTTTATGTTAAACTGGCAAGGTAAAGTTATGAGGATTCGCAATCTTAATTTCACTTTATTTGATTTACTGAATAAAATTCTGAGATTTAAATATTTAATGGCAAGGTAGAATTATAAGGATTCGCAAACTTAATTTCACTATATTTGGTTTACTTTTTTGTTTAACGTGAAATTCATTGGTACTTTTTCACTGCAAACAGACTATAGTGAAATATAGATTACACTAGTCTTCTAGATGAGACATTTAAAAAAGATACATGATTTAATCTGGAGTTTGCTTATGTATGTTTCCAGACAGCTAGTCTAAGGAAGTTAGAGGTTGAGAACCAAGACGCAGCGCGGAAGTTGGAGGACGTTGTACATCGGGGCGAGGTGCTGCTGAAGCAGATACAGCAGGCCCTGCATGACATCGCACAGGCGCAGCTGTCGTGTCAGGCCATGGAGACCACGTGACGTGTGGCGATATTTCCAGGTCGGGGCGCCACGTGATGCAGGATGCTGGTCATCGGGAACATTTACAGTATGAGTGACACTGCCATGTCTTACAGTACTTGGTGAAAGAACTGTTTTTGAAGATATTCATCTTGACTGGCAAAAATGTGGATTCAAGGCTACATTTTTAGATTATCATAGGTCAACGTATGAAAACTCTTCACAGTTTCAAAGTCGAATGCAGCGGAACTGAACATTTGTTGATGTTGATAAATCCAGTCACTCAGAGAAAATAGTGAAAATACTGCCATTTTCATATCATGAATGTGTGTATTTTTTATTTGAAGGAAATTTGAATATTCCGAGTGGCTTCCAAAGTAACATGGTGGATCTCTGTACATGTTGGAAGATAGTAAATAGAACTTTCTCAAATGATATTCTGTAAATGATTAGAATTTATGAAAATAAAATTTAGGTGAGAATGTCTTTCCATAACCCTGGTATCTTTGAGACGGTATGGTTGAATATCACAACAAAACTACAATAGTATGGTCTCCTTACAGTCAAACACTATTGTGTCCAAGTTGAAGGAAAGCACTTTCATACTTCAAGTTATAAAAGGTTTTGACCCAACAATGTAATCACTGAGCAGGAATATACAGGGACTAAGCTTTTACTTAAAGACTCTCATACATGTGCGGGGCGGTGGGGTAGTCTAGTGGTTAAAGCGTTGGCTTGTCACACGCCGAAGACCCGGGTTCGAATCCCCACATGGGTACAATGAGTGAAGCCCATTTCTGGTGTCCCCCGCCGTGGTATTGCTGGAATATTGCTAAAAAAGCGGCGTAAAACCAAACTCACTCACTCATACATGTGCACATCAGAGTTCATCAGAGCTAAACACATTCTTGTGTGACTATATAACATAAGGGACGGTGGGGTAGTCAGATGGTTAAAGCTATCACTCGTCACGCCGAAGACCTGGGTTCGATTCCCTACATGGGTACAATGTGTCAAGCCCATTTCTAGTGTCCCCAGCTGCTCTAGAAATTCTACAAAATTTAAAGAAAATTCATTAAAATTTGGATATATAGACAATAGCATATATTTTCGTTGATTAAATACATTATCGGCCTTCACTTACCTCCCATTCATTAAATTTTATGACATATTTGAACTGGAATCATTGCAAGTAACAGTTTGGAAATATGCTGTAGGAGGTTTGTGAAATTAAAGCTTCACTCTTGATAAGTGTCATATTATCTTTCTCAGAATCCATCATGATTTGAAGTATTTAGTTGACTACTAATATAATGGTCAAACTACTAATTTTGATCCTTGAAACTACTATTTACAACACTTTGGGGTTGGCATCTCTGGTAATGTTTCTAGGGTTGTTGGCACCATACCCAGCTGTCAGTTTTGCCAGCAGTAAAATTTCTGATACCTACATCACCTAAGGCTTTCCACTCTGTGTTAATATAACTGTTATACTGTTAAAGACTGACTGAGTTTGGTTTTACGCCGCTTTTAGCAATATTCCAGCAACATCACGGTGGGGGACACCAGAAATGGGCTTCACACATAGTACCCATGTGGGGATTCAAACCTGGGTCTTCGGTGTGACGAGCCAACCCTTTAACCATTAGGCTACCCAACCGCCCCTACTGTTAAAGAAGCATTGAACCCAGCTCATTCTCATTACACATCCCTTCAGATAGGTTTTGAAGTTTTTCTCAGACCACTTGTCAAGGAAGGGTTCTAGATTTGGCAAATACAGTAAATATGGAATATTTACTTTGTTCAATCATGTCTGTGTATTTTGTGTTGTGAAAATTAATACCGTAATTCATGAAATTAATGCAAGAATTATGAGTGTCCTTCACTTGTATTAATAAAAAGACACATTTCTATGTTTTACATTTTGAAATATGGAGTTATGTTGTGTTTACTGTACATGGAAGGAAACAATGGAATATATAACCAGGTTCAGAATGAAACACAAGGTTTTGAAGCACCTTGCCAGTTGTCAAGTTGTTTACACAAGTTGACCAAGCAGTTGACACAGGAACTAAGAGTGAGGGCACTTTATTCTTGGTAACTTTATAAAATGTTTTGCTGTCTACAAAAATAGAGTTGGATGGGTTGCCTTGTGTTTAAAGCTTTCTATATGCCAAAGTTCGATTCCCCACATAGGTACAATGTATGAAGCCCATTTCTGGTGTCCCAGTCGTGATGTTGCTGAAATATTGCTAAAGGCGGTGTAAACTAAACCCACTCACTCACTACTAGAGCTGTGACGATGTATCATTGTATCAAAATCGCCATACTTTATCTAACGATAAATATATCGATACTTTTTTTCGTGTCGTGATATGCATCGTTGCTTATTGCCAATTTTCACTGGAAATTAACGGTTATTTCAAAATTAACACTGTTACTTGCTATCAAAATATATTTTTAAAGAAAATAACGAAAGATAGCGTTTGGCGATATGCATCGAATCGAATCGTATCGTTCCAAAATATCGCGATACGATTCGTTTCGTGAAATGTCTGTATCGTCACACCTCTACTCACTACCAAAATTATGCTTACCTACATAATACAAACGTCAGCGATGAAAACATAACACTTGTTAACTATACTCAAAGGAGTGTACTACCTCGGAACCTGCATTCTTCATAGTCGGGCGTAGCTACCATTATGAAAAAAAGCCCGGGCTTACACATGATTTTGAAAAGTTGGGCAAGCCTGCAACACTAACAAACTATAAAGCTTTGCAACTTATCGGGCTTACACGAAAATACTGGCTTGCTGGCTTACTAGTTGTTAATATGCCTTATCTGGGCTTTCCTGGTTTTGGTATTTCATGTAGTTGAGATCATGTGTGAAGCAGCTGAACTTAGTTTGTGAAGATGGCAAATAAAGTTATTCACACAAACTGCTATCATCCCATACCATATCATGGAATTCTTTGTCTCCAGTCTTAATGTTGAGGGTTGGTGGTTAAAGCTCTGGCTGGTCGAATCCCACATGGGTACAATGTGTGAAGCCCATTTCTGGTGTTTCTGCCATGATATTGCTGGGATATTGCTAAAAGCGGCATCAAAACAAACTCACTCCACACATTCAATGTTAATTTTGTCATTTTTGTTTTCTTTATATTTTCATAAAGTTCGATTCCCCACATAGGTACAATGTATGAAGCCCATTTCTGGTGTCCCAGTCGTGATGTTACTGAAATATTGCTAAAGGCGGTGTAAACTAAACCCACTCACTCACTACTAGAGCTGTGACGATGTATCATTGTATCAAAATCGCCATACTTTATCTAACGATAAATATATCGATACTTTTTTTCGTGTCGTGATATGCATCGTTGCTTATTGCCAATTTTCACTGGAAATTAACGGTTATTTCAAAATTAACACTGTTACTTGCTATCAAAATATATTTTTAGAGAAAATAACGAAAGATAGCGTTTATGATATGCATCGAATCGAATCGTATCGTTCCAAAATATCGCGATACGATTCGTTTCTGTGAAATGTCTGTATCGTCACACCTCTACTCACTACCAAAATTATGCTTACCTACATAATACAAACGTCAGCGATGAAAACATAACACTTGTTAACTATACTCAAAGGAGTGTACTACCTCGGAACCTGCATTCTTCATAGTCGGGCGTAGCTACCATTATGAAAAAAAGCCCGGGCTTACACATGATTTTGAAAAGTTGGGCAAGCCCGCAACACTAACAAACTATAAAGCTTTGCAACTTATCGGGCTTACACGAAAATACTGGCTTGCTGGCTTACTAGTTGTTAATATGCCTTATCTGGGCTTTCCTGGTTTTGGTATTTCATGTAGTTGAGATCATGTGTGAAGCAGCTGAACTTAGTTTGTGAAGATGGCAAATAAAGTTATTCACACAAACTGCTATCATCCCATACCATATCATGGAATTCTTTGTCTCCAGTCTTAATGTTGAGGGTTGGTGGTTAAAGCTCTGGCTGGTCCGAATCCCCACATGGGTACAATGTGTGAAGCCCATTTCTGGTGTTTCTGCCATGATATTGCTGGGATATTGCTAAAAGCGGCATCAAAACAAACTCACTCACACATTCAATGTTAATTTTGTCATTTTTTGTTTTCTTTATATTTTTCATAAATTACTCTTTTTACATATTGTTTTTGCTACATGCTTTTTGTTCATAATGGGGGCGGTGGGGTAGCCTAGTGGTTAAAGCGTTGTCACGTCACTCCGAATTCTATTCCCCACATGGGTACAATGTGTGAAGCCCATTTCTGGTGTCCCCCGTCGTGATATTGCTGGAATATTGCTAAAAGCTGCGTAAAACTAAACTCACTAAATCACTTGTTCATAAAGCGCTTTAGGCAAGGGTTGAGGCGTGTGAAAATTTGGTAAAGCAGTATTGTCATGAAGTTCTGAGTTCCCCAGAGACCATGGTTCATAGGGGAGGTCACATGCTTCTTTTCCTGACCCAGAGGAAGACACTTGAGGAAATCCGGTTAGAAATATTAAATAGGTTACATTATCTGTGCATAGACGGAAACATTTAAATTTATTTTTAAACGACTTCATAACCATTTAAACACATGATATTTATTTACATAACCGACATTTTAGTTAAAGGAGAAATATCCTATATGGCATGTAACTTCCGTTTTTATGTTAATAAGATCAATTCTTTATGTTGGCTTGCTGACGCCTTCACATTGATACGATTGGGATTTTATACAAAAGTTATGAAAATATGGTGTTTTTGTTTTACTTGGGGCGGTGTGGTAGCCTAGTGGTTAGAGCGTTCGTTCGTCACGCTGAAGACCCCGTTCGATTCCCCACATTGGTACAGTGTGTGAAGCAATTTCTGGTGTCCCCCAACGTGGTATTGCTGCAATATTGCTAAAAGGGGTGTAAAACTAAACCCACACCCCATTTTATTGTATTTGGACTTCCAGATGCCCGATGCTTGAGATGTGTTTTTTCTATGTGTAGGAGGTAAGGGGGTTTTCCCATCCACCCAGCCTTTTTATTATAATATAGTATTACCAGAAACTATTGAGAATTTGGAAGTTCTAGTACAAACAACCTTGACCAGCTATCAAGTGCTTGGTTTTATTCAAGAGAGACAACTCCGTTAATCCTTTTTCATTAGTTTGTGAAGAGTTATCCCCCTTTGTTTACTTGCTAGCAGACGACATTTTCAGTGATCCTCAGTATGGATCATTTAGAAAAGAGGAAGTTGATTTTAGAGTATTATAACAAGGACATCAGATAAGCTAAAGTGATTTCAAGTAGAACAGGCATCCCTTTGTCCACTGATTATCGTGTTTTGAAAAATATTGCAAATGGAAATGGCATTGAACACCAGGGAGGCGCAGGTAGGCCCAGAAAATTGAGTGTCGGTGACAGGAGGCGGCTTGGTATTCTTGTTTCTAAAAACAAACGAAGGAGTTTAGAAA